TACCTTCACCATGGCGTAGCTTTGCTGGCTCTTCCTACAGATGAGGAAATGGTAAAACTCTCACTGGTTTTGCTTTGATGAACATCTGAAAGCTTTGCTTGTGTTTTGATCATTACACTTTATTTTTTCACCAGTATGACATAAAAAATATCTAGCTATTGAAATCCAGTCTATAAATGGCCATCTATTGTTTCTATTTTATATACATTTGTTACAATTTTTGTGTGTTTATTTTACTTTTTTTGGTCCAAGGGGAGCATAAAGGGGAAATAGGATCAATAAATTTTATACGCCCGGCAACTCAAAGTGCTTGATAAAACAATCACACAAGGCATTAAAATAAGGCATAAATAGTTACATGAACACTCAGACCCTTCACACGGCCTTATTCATTCACTGCATACACACAGGTGAGAAACTACTACTGTAGCCCCAGCTGCCCTGGGGCACACTGACAGCAGAGAGGCAACCAGGATGTGCCATCAACCCCTCTGAACACACACACACACACACACACACACACACACACACACACACACACACACACACACACACACACACACACACACACACACACACACACACACACACACACACACACACATGAAGTGTCAGCTGATCCCAGAGGTCTCCCATCACAGTACTAACCAGGCCCTTCCCTGCTTGGCCTCTGAGCTCTGCCAGGATCAGGCTCATTAACTCAAAGCATCAGAGTTAATGAATGTTTCCTGGAGGGACGTGATCCTTCTAATGGATGATTATCACCACCCAAAGAACTATGACGTAAGACGAGACAGGCCCGTCACTTGATCAGACTATAAAGGGTCTTGGACTTGGTCTTGGACTACATCAGGGCTGTCAAACTGGTCCTCAAACGGCCGCTGTGGCTGCAGGTTGTATTTCCACCCATTGCCTCAAATCTTCAGGTTCAAACTGGACTCCAGCACCGGCCCTTTCTGGGGCCAGTTTGACACCCCTGGTCTACATGATACAATTTAGGGGAAACTCTGAACATTATTTCATTTATTTCTGTTCTTCAACTTTTAAGGTGGAACTAATTTATGCTTTAGACTCATTACATGCACAGGTTGGGTTATCATTTCTATGGTTGTGGATGCTTTGTGAACTACCCAACCCAGTCTATGTACATTTCTCCATTGTGACATCAACAAAGGACATTGGTAACATTAGTCACACACATTTTACAATCACAGTCAGTGTTGAAACTATTGTAATATTGAGGTAATCTGGGTTTAAGAAGTCATACTTATCAATATCATAATAAAAAGTGCTTGATATATCTCACATGGTCTGTAATGAGACTGTCATAGTTTAAAATTGTACAATGAATTACAGAAGTGAAATGAGTTTTACCTTTGTCCACGTGACTGCAAAAGGCTACTATACAAACACTTGTATAATACCTTCGCATTCTGTATTTATGTGATGGTAGATTCAAGTGAATTCGAAAACTAAAACTAAACTAAAACCAGGATTGTCTAAACTGCAGAAGCCATCGATCCAAGATCATATGGCTCTCATCATCCAGCTGTGAAAATGCAGAAATATTCCAAGTCTTATTGCACCTCATTGTTTCGTCTGAAATCCAGAGCTTTTACTTGGTATTGTTTGGTTCCATTTAAAGTCTGACCCAGAAAGAGAAACCTCCAGATCCTTGGAAGGACAGCTGGTGCAAACAGGTTTGAGTGGGAGAGCCGCAAACACCACGGCTGCCAAGAATCGTCTCAAATTGATTTCAGTTTGAGTCGGTTTCACTTTGCATTAATAAAAGTTGCCACGTCTGCAGTTTTTTTGCCGTTTTACCTGCAAACAATCGCAATAATCTTAGTCTTTGAAAACGACCCATAATGTAAAATGGAGTGAGCAGCTTTTGGCCATGTTAGTCTGGTTTTCCTCTGTCTCCTTTACTCACAGTTGATTCGCTGCGGTCACACATTTCTCACCGTGTGACACAAAAGCTCGGTATATTTACCTTTATGCATCTTTAGTCACAGAATTAGAATGATTTGCGTTTAGAAAAATACAACTCATAATAAGGAAATTGGACTGAAATGCTGGTGATGCTTATTCTAAGGGGAGGGACTGTTCGGAATATTTATTATGAGAAATACAGTAGTTAAGCCAGACCAGAGAGGGAGAGAGACCAGAGAGGGAGAGAGGCCAGAGAGGGAGAGAGGCCAGAGAGGGAGAGAGACCAGAGAGGGAGAGAGACCAGAGAGGGAGAGAGACCAGAGAGGGAGAGAGACCAGAGAGGGAGAGAGACCAGAGAGGGAGAGAGACCAGAGAGGCCAGAGAGGGAGAGAGGCCAGAGAGGGAGAGAGACCAGAGAGGGAGAGAGACCAGAGAGGGAGAGAGACCAGAGAGGGAGAGAGACCAGAGAGGGAGAGAGACCAGAGAGGGAGAGAGACCAGAGAGGGAGAGAGACCAGAGAGGGAGAGAGACCAGAGAGGGAGAGAGACCAGAGAGGGAGAGAGACCAGAGAGGGAGAGAGACCAGAGAGGGAGAGAGACCAGAGAGGAGAGAGACCAGAGAGGGAGAGAGACCAGAGAGGGAGAGAGACCAGAGAGGGAGAGAGACCAGAGAGGGAGAGAGACCAGAGAGGGAGAGAGGCCAGAGAGGGAGAGAGGCCAGAGAGGGAGAGAGGCCAGAGAGGGAGAGAGGCCAGAGAGGGAGAGAGGCCAGAGAGGGAGAAAGGCCAGAGAGGGAGAGAGGCCAGAGAGGGAGAGAGGCCAGAGAGGGAGAGAGGCCAGAGAGGCCAGAGAGGGAGAGAGGCCAGAGAGGCCAGAGAGGCCAGAGAGGCCAGAGAGGCCAGAGAGGCCAGAGAGGCCAGAGAGGCCAGAGAGGCCAGAGAGGCCAGAGAGGCCAGAGAGGCGGTATATATATATTTTGAAGCGTGTGTCGTGAGTCTAAAGCACAGAATTCAGATCCGATCCCGATGTCTCTCCCGAAGCCTTTCTCTGACGGTGGGAGCGTGAAAAGTGCTAAAACATGGGTTCCTCACATACTGTACATCCTGTTTCTGTTACGCAACATTCACAGCTGTTTAGACCTGCACAGTCTCTGCCTTCAATAAACTGTTGCCGTGGGTTACATTTAGTTTTGAGTTGATGCACATTTAGGCGAAGCTAATGAGGCGTTTGGGTTTGGAACAAAGTCGAAGATTGTGGTTCTGGTTGTGTCATGGGTTCATACCGGTTACAGATTTCGGTTTGCCGATTATGAAAAGCCCAAAGTCTGATACCGCTTCTATGTGTTCTTGTAAAGGATCCCTTAATCTTAAACTTAAACTCTGAAATAATTCTTTTATACTTTATTTTTGTGTTTTTCCAGTGGTCAGAATGAATTATTAAAAAACATAACAAGGCAGCAATTATAATGCATATGCAAAGATTAGAGTTAAAAATAATAATTAGAATAATTAGAAAACAACTTTGAAAATTGGAGAAATAGAACTGAAGAGATATCTATGTATGCTTTGATCTTCCGAGAGCTGGTGACAGACAGGTGCAGCAAAAACAATAATTTACAGAAATGAAACGGATTCTCTGCTCGTTCTTTAGAAAGACTCAGAAACTCCCATCATGTTTTGAAATGAGAAATACCCAATATCTACTTCTGCATTTCTAAGCTTTTGTGGTCATGAATTCACACCTTTTTAAAACTTTCCATTAGTCTAGGGCTTAAATGTGGTGATTGTGTGAAGTAAAATCATCAGTGTGATATAGACCCCGTCAGTTTGTCTCCCATCACAATCTGAGACGAACACTCGTAACTTCTGAGTCAGTTCTGTAAGAGTCTGATGTCTTTACACCGCTGGAGCCATTTCAAAACAAAAGAATCCTCATAAATTACTACAAAATATGAATGTAAGCACAATACATAGAAGCACCGCCCTCTGGTGGCAGCATGGGGAGGTGCAGGCCCTTGTCACTCAGTCTAGAACATGTGTTTAATGGAGAAAAATAATGCATCATGTTTGGAATGTGCTGCGTGGACGTGTTCGTGTCCTCGGTGTTCTTGGCTCAGAGGTGGTTTTAAAGTGTGATAAGAATTGTTTATGTTGTGCAATGTTTTATGCAGTTTGGCAGGTTGAGAAGTGGTGGAATTTTATCTGAAGGTGGTTCAAGGTTGGGAAAGATACAAACACCACTGTGTGTGTGACTTTAGTCCGGTTTGATTTACTTTGATACGTGCTCAAAGGATCTTTTTAGAGTCTGATTATTGGTGTTTTTCTGCCTGGAAGAGGGCGTGCATTTGTATTGTCTTTGGAAAGTTTATAAATTCACAATATGCAGCAATTGAAACAAATTCTTAAACGGAAAGGTTCAGTTTAAAGCCATTGGGTGTCGGCCGGAAGCCAGTTTCATGGATTTAATAGTTTTAGAGATTGCAGCTTGACCTTTACTGACGTATAAACAATTCTTACATTTTTAAATCATGAAAATATTATACATACCTCAGTTTTTAACACGTGTATATACAACACATGCACTAGGGCTGGGAAAACCATATTAAATATTCAAACATAATTCAAAAACATAAAACATTCAAACCCTAATATTGTAATATTAAACTGGAATTATTGTTGTGTATATTAGCTGCAAATGTTCATTTTTGGCTTCAATATCAGAGATGAATGATCCTGTTTAGATGTGGCTTGTTTATCTGATTACCTGCATGCACTGCATATATTTGAATATATTTGAATATTAATAAAACAATGACATTTTAAATATGGTTTTTTGAGCTTAAATCCCAGCCCTAACACACACTGCACATTACCCTCCCCTCATGTCTGTTATTCATGAGACACTGACCAAATGTAACTGTATAAAATGCCAAAGTCTGTTGCATGGAGAAGGATCCTGTAAAAACCCTCTGTCTGTGTCCAGTTGTTATCATCGTCTGTCATTGTGTATTTGTTGTTCTCAAAATGTAAACAAAAACAATATTCTTACGTCAGTTGAGTCAGTTTAACCATGGAGCATCAGGGACTCTCGTCTCGAGTGTATGATCTTTTGTATGTTTTGAGTTGTATGTATTTACTTGTATAGTTGTGCTCATAAGTTTACATACCCTGGAAGAGCTTTCAATGCCATTTAAGGACTTTTACAACAAGCTGCTCAGGGACTTCAGGTGGAAATTGGCTGCTACAACCTGGAACCATGTCAAACTAAAACACATACAGTAACATAACAATTAGATAAAATAATTGAATGCTTTGTGTTGTTTCTGTTGTAACTATGACCTAAGAAGACATAGTTTAGTTTCTAAATACATGTCAGTTAACATTTTAGTACAGATTAAATTAGATGGAGTTTGCTGAGATAATAGGCCTTAAAATGAAGTATAACATGCCATGGTAGCCCTTTACCATCGACGCTGCAGGTCTCTGATCATTCTCATTATCTCACAATGGCCCAGAGACGTGGTTCTTCCAGGATGTGTGAGCTCAGGAGAATATCTGTGGCCTGGGTCCTGGTTCTTTGGCCTGGGCCGTGGTTCTTTGGCCTGGGCCGTGGTTCTTTGGCCTGGGCTGTGGTTCTGTGGCCTGGGTCCTGGTTCTGTGGCCTGGTTCTTTGGCCTGGGCCGTGGTCCTGTGGCCTGGGTCGTGGTTCTGTGGTCCTGTGGCCTGGGTCCTGGTTCTGTGGCCTGGTTCTTTGGCCTGGGCCGTGGTCCTGTGGCCTGGGTCGTGGTTCTGTGGCCTGGGTCCTGGTTCTGTGGCCTGGTTCTTTGGCCTGGGTCCTGGGTCGTGTCTCTCCCCTGACCCTCCCCTGTCCCTTCCTTTGCCCCAGTGAAAGGCTCTCGTCCTGGGAAGAACGTGCAGCTGACGGAGGGCGAGATCCGCGGCCTCTGCCTCAAGTCCAGAGAGATCTTCCTGAGTCAGCCCATCCTCCTGGAGCTCGAGGCCCCGCTCAAAATCTGCGGTCAGTACCACACGAGTGAAAACTGTAGAATATAAAGTGAATGTAACAGAACCTCTACTGCACCTCTGTCCTCGCTCTGTGTTGGGTTTATCATGTTGAAGTCATGTTTTTTATATAGCACATTTTTACAGAGTCAGAGTTTGTTCCATTCTCTCCACACAGTGATGAAGAGAGACCTGAACACACTGGTCCATCAAGGCCTCCGACCAAACACCATTCATTCACTCACTCATTACATTCAGACTATTGTACATGTTTTTAGTGGTAGGGGAAACTGGAGCTCCCGGAGTTTATTTGTGTAGCACAATTCATACACAAGGCAACTCAAAGTAAATAATCACAGAACATTAAAAAGAAAGATAAAAATATAAAATCCCTCAGTTGTAGCACAGCTAAACAGAACTGTCTTTAACCTGGTTTTAAACATTGTCAGAGAGATTTATATCAGTCCTTTCAGTGGAGGTCAGTCTCCCTCAGCCAATCAGCTCTCAGAAAACATCTTATCTTTACTAAGATAAGGACAGCATGTTTTGTTTCTTCACAAAATCTTCTTTTTTGTGGCTTTTTTAAGGGACAAACTAAATGTGTTTTGGTGCATCCTCCAGGAGAGCTACACACAGTGAGGATCCTCCAGGAGAGCTACACACAGTGGGAGGATCCAGGAGAGCTAACCCTAACCCTTTGCAGTGTTATTGAATTCACATGAATGTAGTTGTATGTGTTCTACTGACTGTGTTTACAGCTAAACATTCTCATGCATCTTGATCAGGGTTAGGGTTATATATGCATCTTGATCAGGGTTAGGGTTATATGCATTTATAATTAGCAGAAGCATCAGAATTATCTCTCAATCCTTGTTTGGGAGAATCCACTTGTCAGAAATACTTGATTTTCAAACCTTTCACCATTCAAAAGATTCACTGTAAAAGATACAGTTTTTGATTATAATTCCACCTCAAAAGCAGATTTCTAATACATTTGGTTACGACGGTCCTTCAGCACTGCAGTAAAGATCATTTCATTTTAATGAAGATATTTCAGTCATATGAATTCTATGGCTTTGAACCAGAGTTGTTCTTGTCTGACAAAATGCACTAAGATGCACCATTGTTTGTCACGCGTGTCCAAATATCTGTTCTGTAAAGCATTCTATAAAGCATTCTGTGGAGCATTCTGTGGAGCATTCTGTAAAGCATTCTGTAAAACATGGTAAGCACAGCGGGTGACCTGGGTTTATAACGTTAGCTGTGACTCACGTCCATAAAGCAGGGTTCACATCCTCTTTATCAGAGTTAACAATAGAAATATCTACTTTTGGACCAAAACTATGTATTGACTGTTTTCTCTGGGTATTTTCAAAAACTTTTCCCTAATCCTAAACTCCACCCCCACCCCCCCAAATGACTGCACACACCTGAAGCCTGCTCTCTGCCGCCCCCTACAGGCGACGTCCACGGTCAGTACTACGACCTGCTGCGGCTCTTTGAATACGGAGGCTTTCCCCCTGAGAGCAACTACCTGTTCCTGGGTGACTACGTGGACCGAGGGAAGCAGTCCCTGGAGACCATCTGCCTCCTGCTCGCCTACAAAATCAAATACCCAGAAAACTTCTTCCTGCTCAGAGGGAACCACGAGTGCGCCTCTATCAACCGCATCTACGGCTTCTACGACGAGTGTGAGGACCACAAGTCTATTTACAGCACTGTTTTCCAACCTGTGGGCTGCGGTCTGTGAGTGGGCCCAGATGTGGTTTGTCTTTTAGAAATGATCCATCTCCACCGATTGGTTCTTGGGAACACTTTAGATTAGCCTTCTCTAAGCTAAGTGCTAATTAGTGTTCCCTAACCCTAAGGCCCTTAACTCATTCACTGCCAGCCATAAAGCAGCACCCCTCACACTGCCAGAGGTTTGGGATATTTCTACCTCATATAAATGTGAGCCCTTGGTTGGACACAAGTATGAAACAAATGAAAGCTCTGTCTTTTGCCTTTTGGTTTTGGGTCAGTTACAGATGAATAAGTCTGTGGTTTTCAGGTAAGCGGCGGTACAACATAAAGCTGTGGAAAACCTTCACCGACTGCTTCAACTGTTTACCGGTCGCCGCCATCGTGGACGAGAAGATCTTCTGCTGTCACGGAGGTCAGTGCAGAAAAGTCAAAGTGAAATAAAATGTGAAATCTGTTCAGTTTAGAGAAGTCTGTGATGGAGACGAGAAGTTGTGTAACAATAAGACGTCCAAAATCAGTCATTATTCATTCATAATAACACATATCTTGCCTTTCTAGACATTCGGGTCACCTTACGGGTCAACTAAAAAGAACATTTAAAAACAGCTAAAACACAAAGTTAAAAGCAGCATGGACAGAGGAGGGTGTAGTTATGGTGTGAGTGAATAGGCTCAGGTCTAAACATTAGCATAGATTTGATGTGAGTGTTACGGAGGTCAGAGAGGACAGAATGTTCCGGAGCTGAAGTGACCGAAATAAACTTCATTCATTCATTCTTTACCACCTCCATGTGTCCCTCAGGTCTGTCTCCAGACCTGCAGTCCATGGAGCAGATACGCAGAGTCATGAGGCCCACAGACGTCCCGGACCAGGGCCTGCTGTGTGACCTGCTCTGGGCCGACCCCGACAAAGACGTCCTGGGCTGGGGCGAGAACGACCGGGGAGTGTCCTTCACCTTCGGAGCCGACGTCGTGGCCAAGTTTCTGCACAAACACGACATGGACCTAATATGCAGGGCGCACCAGGTGGGAACCAGGACCATGGTCTCTATTCTATTTTCAATTCAGTGTATTCTTGTCTAGCCCTAAATCACAACAGTAGTTATCTCGGAAAATGACAGAGACTTAGGAAAGACCTGAATCACAAGTGGGCCTCTCAGTTTTTCTCAGGTAGAATGAAGACAGAGCAAACCCACAGATGTTAGCAGCTAGCTAGTCCAAACAGACGCTGAAGTCGCTGTAGTCCATTTTGGGAAGACCAGTCCTATGTCCTTAGACCCCCCTCCCTCAGGTTGTTGCTTTAATTACACTTAATGCTACTTTTCCACTGACATAAAGGTGTTTCTGCTTGAACTTTCTTTAAACATTGAATACACTGCAGATGAACTAATAAACATAGACAAATAAATTAATAAAAATAATGATCTGTTCCATTGTAGTCAGTGTTCGAGTAAATGTTAGTCCCCCTCTGCCACTAGATGGCGCTGTTGCTGCCTTCTCTGCTTAAAGGTCCTATATCACACTTTTCTTCATGTTTCACACTCAGTCCTCTGCACATGTGTGATATTAATGTGTATGATACACCACACAACAATCAAAGCTTGTGAGATTAGAGCCATCTCTTGTTTAGAGGTGACGTCACCTCGACTCAAACGAGCTGATCCAGAGTCTGCTCCTCTGCCTGTGAGCCCGCCTCCCCCCGCCCGCACGCTGACGTAGCATCACGCTTTTGTCGTTTATCACCTGTACTTAGTCATTTCATACATAAGAATACACTTTTTCCAACAATGACAATCCGTCACATCGAGCCCTATGTCCTCGATGCACAATCAGACCCTAGTTATTTAGTTTACAGAAGTATACAGCGAGTTAGCGTCACTACTTACAGATCGAGGGGGTCTGAGTTACGTCTTTTACCGTGGGAATAATGTGTTTCCACATCAGCTTTGGAGTAAGTCCAGTTCCATTGTCCCTGTAGTTCTGGAACAGTCTCAGTGAAGTGTCGCAGATGAACCGGTATTATAATAGATCCATGAGATGAACAGATGAAAAAAGTCGAGCCGCTTTCTTCCTCTTAGGGCCAAATAGTGCGTCACATATTTACACCCATAACACACTTCATTCAAGTTGACGTGATCCTAACACTTTTAGTTTCTGACAAAAGCATAAAAACAGCAGCTCTGTGTGGTGTCCGCGAGACCAGACCACAGACGCTGGACGCTGGACTCGGGAGCCGGAGCCTGTGCGCTCTGATTCGCTGTTTTGATCCGTCAATCACCTCCCGCCGGCTTTTAATTTATTTTTATTTTTATTATTTTTGACAAAAAACAGCATACTAATTGTGTATTGTTTACCCCGTTTTGACAAAAGTATTTAACAACTATTTTAAATACAAAGCAAACGGGGTCATGCGCGTCATCAGTGTGGTTTTTGTCACTGAAGTGGACCCGAGCGTTTCTGTGCCTCACGCTGGGGAAAGACACAGATTGTTCTCTTACAAAAGATTGACAGAATCAATGAATAAACTACTGTGGGCTTGTGTATGAAGGCCAAATAGCATTGTAATCATGTTTAAAGCAGAGAAAAGTCAAAAACCGTGATATGGGCCCTTTAAAGGACAACTCACCCTCAAATCCACTTTTTTTTGCTGATAAACGGTATAAATGAGTCTCCATATCCTGGTCATAATTTTGTCACTTTGGTGCAAATTAGTTGAAAGTTAAACTTTCTGCCCAAAACTGTCTGTGAGGCGCCATCTGCTGGCGAACTTTATTTACTACATTTGAATTTTGAATCTGGCGCCAACACTGCCGCGGCAGCAAGACCTGACGTCTGAAGCAAGACCTGACGTCTGAAGCAAGACCTGACGTCTGAAGCAAGACCTGACGTCTGAAGCAAGACCTGACGTCTGAAGCAAGACCTGACGTCTGAAGCAAGACCTGACGTCTGAAGCAAGACCTGACGTCTGAAGCAAGACCTGACGTCTGAAGAACAAGACCTGACGTCTGAAGCAAGACCTGACGTCTGAAGCAAGACCTGACGTCTGAAGCAAGACCTGACGTCTGAAGCAAGACCTGACGTCTGAAGCAAGACCTGACGTCTGAAGCAAGACCTGACGTCTGAAGCAAGACCTGACGTCTGAAGCAAGACCGACGTCTGAAGCAAGACCTGACGTCTGAAGCAAGACCTGACGTCTGAAGCAAGACCTGACGTCTGAAGCAAGACCTGACGTCTGAAGCAAGACCTGACGTCTGAAGCAAGACCTGACGTCTGAAGCAAGACCTGACGTCTGAAGCAAGACCTGACGTCTGAAGCAAGACCTGACGTCAGCAGCCCCTCGCCCAGAGCTATATAAACGGCCCTGTCTCGTTCACGCCCCCTTTAGTCCTCCAGGCCACGCCCGTTTAGAGGAAGATTTGAACAGGAAATGTGAGTGACGTAAGCTCCGAGGAGCGGGGGTGAGAACCACTTTAACTATGGGTCATGTAAATCCATAAAGGCCTGTGTACACTTATGCGGCGCTGGTTACGTGCAACTATACACTAGGTTTTACATTTCAACTTTTCAGAACGTCTGTGAAGCTAAAACTATCAAGATATTATTTGATCAATGTTTCTGTTCCAAATGATAAGAGTTAATGATTTATAAATGAGTAACGAAGCTGACGACTTGTGACACATTCCCTCCAACATTGACCGATGCTTGGTCCTTGTGTTTCCAGGTGGTCGAAGACGGTTATGAGTTTTTTGCAAAACGGCAACTGGTCACTTTGTTCTCGGCTCCAAACTACTGCGGAGAGTTTGACAACGCCGGCGCCATGATGAGCGTGGACGAGACGCTCATGTGCTCCTTCCAGGTACACACATATTTACCAAACCCTAAGCCTTTTTCTACACCCAAGTGACCCTACTAATACTGCTGCTACTACTACTGCTGCTGCTGCTACTACTAATACTGCTGCTACTACTACTGCTGCTGCTGCTACTACTAATACTGCTGCTACTACTACTACTGCTGCTGCTACTACTAATACTGCTGCTGCTACTACTAATACTGCTGCTGCTACTACTAATACTGCTGCTGCTACTACTAATACTGCTGCTGCTACTGCTGCTGCTACTACTAATACTGCTGCTGCTACTACTAATACTGCTGCTGCTACTACTAATACTGCTGCTACTACTAATACTGCTGCTACTACTAATACTGCTGCTGCTACTACTAATACTGCTGCTACTACTACTACTGCTGCTGCTACTACTAATACTGCTGCTACTACTAATACTGCTGCTGCTACTACTAATGCTGCTGCTACTACTACTACTGCTGCTGCTGCTACTACTAATACTGCTGCTGCTACTACTAATACTGCTGCTACTACTACTACTGCTGCTGCTACTACTAATACTGCTGCTACTACTACTACTGCTGCTGCTACTACTAATACTGCTGCTGCTACTGCTGCTGCTACTACTAATACTGCTGCTGCTACTACTAATACTGCTGCTACTACTAATACTGCTGCTACTACTACTACTGCTGCTGCTACTACTAATACTGCTGCTGCTACTACTAATACTGCTGCTACTACTAATACTGCTGCTACTACTAATACTGCTGCTACTACTAATACTGCTACTACTACTACTACTGCTGCTACTACTACTGCTGCTGCTACTACTAATACTGCTGCTACTACTAATACTGCTACTACTACTACTACTGCTGCTGCTACTACTAATACTGCTGCTACTACTACTACTGCTGCTACTACTGCTGCTGCTACTACTAATACTGCTGCTACTACTACTACTGCTGCTACTACT